CGCCCCGCCGTTCGGTCAGATTGGACGTCAAGGCGCGCGCGCGTGGCCGGCGGGCTGGACGCGGTCCATACATCAACCACACGAGCCTTGGAGGGGTGGCGATCAAGTGCCTCACTCGGGCGGAGCTCCCCGCCCCGCCCCGCCCCGCCCCTCGAGGCTTCGCACAAACTCGCGGCGGCGGCGTTGGGCTCTCGCGTCTTCCATCTCATTCGCTTCGCATTAGCCCGACATGCGGTCGCTCGCTGCAGAGAGGATAGGAGGGGCGGCGGCCGTTCGAGGACGTCACGTCAGCGCATACAGAGAGCGTTCGAACACTCCATCGCATAGGCTTCACTGAAACGTGTAAGTGTGCACTCTAAATCTGAAGGGATTGCATATCCTTGCATATCTAAAGACTGTCTCTACCAGAAGGAAAAGTGCTCACCCCCGTCCGCTCCCCTCCCTGTTTGCCTTGTTGAAGCACACCTTGTTCAGATGCTTTTCAGCACGTTGCCAGGGGTAAATTTGCATCGTTGTTATATGGACAAAATAAAAAATTGTCTATCAAAAGGATGCAAATTTGTTTCTTGCAAGTGTTGTTAAAAAATGCATCTGGTCGAGATGTGCTTAAAAACTGCATCTTTCTATGGACAATAACAGTTCCTTTCACATTTAGTGAGCGTTATCCAACTTCAGGATTGCGGCCATTAAGCTTTGGACCTGGAACATGCTTTGGACTTAAAACACCTGTAAGTAGTGCTCAAATTTAATGTTTCAGACACTTAGAGTGTTTAAATTTCGAGTCCGGCACCACAAGAGAGTGTGCACCGTCGTTGAACGCCATACGATATGCGTGCCAGTTGCACATTTTTGTTTTCAGCAGTGTACTGTGCACGTCCAGAGAGTTTTGCACGAAATGTTGCACTGCATCACGATGGCCGAACAAAATTCCGCGTACCTATTCGCGCGGAGTAGAGTACATTTGCAGATACACGAGGGCCGCCGTGTGCGCCGCCGCCGGCTAGGCAGGACGATGCCGAAGACCACATTCCAATTCCGTCGAGCGAGTTTGCACTGCTGGGCCGACTTAATATAGCAGGTCCCTCGGCAGATCCGACCCCCGCCGCGCCGGCCCGGGGAGGACAGAGTTCGCTTGTTTCGGTTAAAATCGCGACCGTTTGCCCTCATTAGAGACCCAGGGATGGGAGTTGTGGAGGAGGGCCGGGTGGTGGTAGGGGACGCTCTGTTGACGGCAATTTCGACTCTCGAGCTATTGTACCCCGGGGGGCTGCGGGACGGTTTGGGGGCTATTGGACGAAACGGCCAGGGCGGGGCG